TTTCGGCCATGTGAAAAGGAACTTTTGTTATAGTAATCATGTGAAATATAATTTATCAGATTCTTGTGTTTGTAGTGTTAACGTAAAAAAACCATTGAAACCTGTAAAGAATTTTTGTGAGTTTATTTGAGCCAAACTGTCGACATATGCCGGGAAGCAGAAGCTCAACGAATTGAGATAGTGCTCCGGAGAATGGCGGGGGTACATCCGTATTTATACATGAAATTCATTGGTGACACATTTAAGAAGGTGGGATTAAGCGAAGTGGGGGAAACCTCTGTGATAGGATAAAAAATAAAATGATGGACATATACTTAGGTGGGTGCAGGAACAATTAACATGACAAATGAAAGAATCTGCGGCATCTGTCCTGGGCTCAGCACACCTGGTTGTGCCCTAGGGGCTCCAGATACAGGGAAATCACAAGTTACCCAAACATTTCAAGGATATGTTATCATAGATGCAAAAAGACAGATAGGCTCAGTTATAGTAAAGGTTGACCTTATCAGTGAAGATAATCAGCTTAGGACGTAACTGCCCACCATAACTGTTTTTAGTTAAGGTTTAATTTCAGACCATCCTTTGTGGTTATTTTAGGTCTCTGAGTCTGCTAGGCTGCCACGCAGGCCTTCCCTGAGCTTGTCAGGTCAGCGTGTGGCCCCTTTCGTCCACAGTAGGTACAAATCTAAAAGAAACCTACAAACATCAAATAAATATTTTATTGTTGATATATGAAAGAAACTTGATGGGTGGATCCCAAAATTTTTCTATAAAAACAAACAACAACAGCTGTATTATAAAGATATTTCAGGGAAGTAATCAAAAAATATATTGCCTGAGGTAAAAAGCGAAAAAGGAGTAGGAAAACAGCAACAATTTTACGAGGGGTGTCAGGATTGTTGATGGATATTTTCATTTTAAAATTTGCTTTAATTCACATGATTTTAAAATAGAAACAAAATAAAAATTATTTTGTTGGCTTAAAAAAAGAACACATGATCCTTAAAACACACTCAATGTACATGAAGAAAAGGATAATATAAATAGTGGGAAATAAAAGTCATCCTTATTTCTAAAGATGAGAATGGTTAACTACAAAGCAATTGGATAGATGATTACCAACTGATTTTTATATTTATTTTACTTACTTTATAGTTAATCAGTTATCTGATATGTTTAATAAACCATATGAAGTGTTTTAATCATTTGGCAAAGCAGGGTTATGTATTGTATCTCTGATACATGTGTCATATTCATTATTCAAACTATAAGAATCTGTTTGGAAAATAACTGTAAGCTAACAACATCTGCTACAAAGAGCTTCTTTGTCAGTTACAATTCCAACTACATTTTTATATATTTACTATAGAGTGTCCCTCAAAATGTATCACACACTTTGAATAATTATAAAGGCAGTATTTATTAAAAATACATTTCATTTTCAAAATTGAGCTATCAGCTGTTACATTGTATATACATATTGGGGGGGGGGGACACCCTGTATTTCTTGGAAAACCACAGGAAGTAGCAGATCAATAAATTTCCACTTGGAGGGCGTGGGATCTGACTGGGATTTTTCTCTGTAAAGTTAGGTAGGTTGAGTTGGGTCCAAGATGTAATCAGAATTGAGTGGAACCACTCAAGCACAGGTCAAAGAAATTTACACTTGAATAGAGAGCCTACCCCGTGCAGAGCAAGGCAGGACAATATTGTAAAATTCTGCTCAGAAGATGAATGCCAGAGAGAAATGCTTCCTTGAAAACATTATACAAAATGAAAGAAGCCAGATTCAAAAGCCATATACACTCAGTGGCCAGATTATTATGACCACCTGATGTTTGTAGGCAAATTAGCTATAATTTCGCGCTGAAGTTGCTAGAGGGCCAGACCATTATGAATAGGGAAACAGGTTGTTTACTATGACAGTAGAAGTTATTTTTTTCTGAATATATGGGTAAACAACGCAATTTAACAGCCTTTGAACGTGGGATATATATATATTTATACTGAGTGGCCAGATTATTATGACCCCCTGACATTTGTAGGCAAATTAGCCGTACACTGCATCATATGGGATATGGAAGCCAAAGGCCTGTTCAAACACCTTTGCTGTCTGCAACTACCAAGATAAAATGTCTCCAGTTCACACAGGAACACAAGGATTGGACAATCAAGCATTGGAAAAAAGTCATGTGGTCCGATGAATCACATTTCCAGTTGCATCATGCAGATGGCAGAGTGAGAATTTGGCGGAAACAGCATGAAAGCATGCACCCCACATGCATGAGTACAACTCTTCAAGCTGTTGGGGGCAGTGTTATGGTTTGGGGCATGTTTTCCTGGCATGATTTGGGCCCTTTAATTCGTGTGGAACAACGTCTGAATAGCACAACATACCTAAGTATCATTGCTGATCAGGTTCATCCTATCATGTTGATGGTGTATCCCAGTGGAGCTGGCTTCTTCCAACAAGACAATGCGCCATGCCACGGTGCTCTTCTTGTGCAGGAGTGGTTTCAAGAACATGAGGGAGACTTAACCTTGCTTAGGTGGGCCCCACAATCACCAGCTCTCAATCCAATTGAGCATTTGTGGGACGAAGTTAAAAGAGCCATCAGGCAGCTGCTTCCCCAACCGTCAAATCTCACAGAACTGGACAGTGCTATTCATCAGGCATGGTGTCAGATTCCTCGCATCACCTTTCAACATCTCGTGGAGTCAATGCCAAGAAGAATCGCCGCAGTATTTAAGGCAAAAGGTGGCCCAACAAAGTACTGATGGGGTGGTCATAATAATTTTGCCACTCATAATAATATATATGTTTACCCATATCTTCAGAAAAAAATCACTTCTGTCGTGGTAAACAACCTGCTTCCCTATTTATAATGGTCCAACTTCAGCGAGAAATTATAGCTAATTTGCCTACAAACGTCAGGTGGTCATAATTATTTGGCCACTCAATGTATTGTTACAGAAGACCAGAGGAAAACCAAGCAACACTTTAAAGAAAAGGAGTTACACTGTTTATTATGCTGGCGAACTCAGCATAATAACTTCCCAAGTTTGAGCAAAGTAACGTTCAGGGATCTTCTCTTTTATATCTTTCTGGTGTCTTTGTTCCTCAAGTATGGATTATGCTCCCGGTCCTTTTCTCAAGCTTTGCAAAAAGGCCCCAGGTGTTGGGGGTCTCCAAGCCATACCTAATGGCCTGGCTGGCACCAGCATTAATAACACCCCCCTCCGGGGCTGTGCACTGTTTATAGTTTATGGCCTCTGTGAAATGTGAGCATTTAGGTAACAGGTTCTGCAAGACCAGCTTCTGGTAAAAAGACAGTGACTTAATTATAGGTTATCAAGAATGTACACTGGGCTTGCTGACGCAGATTCAGATCACTAGCCCTCCAAACATCAGGGTTACACTGGAATTAGCCTTTTTAGCCTTCTCATTATTACATGATTACATTTATAGGAAATGTCTAGAATATGCAAATCCAAAGAGGTCAAAGGGGAATGGAGAATAGGGAATGATTATTAGTGAGTATGAGGTTTATTTATGGTGTGATTTAAATATCCTAGAATTGGATAGTGAAAGTTGCATAACTCTGTGAATATACTACAGAATATATAGTAAGCAACAATGAATTGTATACTTTAAAAGGGTAAATTTGAACCCTGGCTAGCATGGTTCAGTGGTTGGAGCATTGGCCTGCACATTGGAGGGTCATAGATTTCATTCTCAGTCAAGGACATGTACCTGGGTTGCAGGTTCAATCCCCATCCTCAGTTGGGGCATGTGTAGGAGGCAACCAATCAATGTCTCTCTCTCTCTCTCTCTCTCTCTCTCTCTCTCTCTCTCTTTCTGCCCCTCTCCCTCCTCCCCCCTTCCACTCTCTCTGAAAAAAGTCAATGGAAAAAAATAACCTCACTCCTTAAGTGAGGATTGAAAAAAGGAGGGGGGGGGGCGTAAATTTGAGGATATATGAATTATACCTCAATAAAGATGTTATTCAAAACAAGAGAAAAATGATTATTCAGATGCCAAGGGTAGATAAAAAGTTTATTTTAAATTGAGGTATCATCTCCAAAAGGACTCTGTTGGTTTTAAAAAGTTAGACATATAGTCTTCACAATGTCCTAATCCTTCTTTCTACAAGACACCTCCCCACCATGTCACAGTTAATGAATAATTTGTGACTTCTAAGCTAATTTGCATCTCCCTGTAGAGAACTAGCTTGTCCTCATTCAGATGGGCATAGCATTACATTTCCCTGGAGCTGAAATGATGAGATATCAATAAATTAGTTCAAATTTAAGGAGCAATGTTTGAGATAAAAACAATACAATTATAGCACTAGCCAGTGTGGCTTAGTTGGTTGGAGTGTCCTCCTGTACACCAAAATGTTGCTGGTTTGATTCCCAGTCAGAGTATATACCTAGGATGTTGGTTCAATCCCTAGTCCAGGATGTGCCGGAAGTCAACTAATTGATGTTTCTCTCACATAGGTGTTTCTCTCTCCCTTTCCTTCTCTCTAAAGTCAATAAGCATGTCCTTGAGTGAGGGTTAATAAATAAATAAATAATAGTTAATACCACAAACTATTTAAATATTTACTGGCTCTAATAAAATATGTCAACTTATTTAGATTTTATGCATGAGTAAATATAGTATTTACTATATTTCTATGTATTTACTATATTCGCATGGAATTGCCATTTCTTTATCTTTTTTCAGAGGAAGTTTGGCCTTCCCTAAGTTTTTAAATATATTTTAGATACACTTCAGTTTTTCTATGATATATGCAGATTCTTATGATAATAGATTACCTGATTATTTTCTACTTTCTTCACAGTGGACCAATGACCACTTGTGCTTTCATATCTCCAGGAAGGCTTCTTTATCCACTGCCTTCTTCTAATCTATGGTGGGGCTAGTGACTACACTATCAGGAAAGCTAGTGATTATTTCCTATGAGATGACTTGTTTGCTTTATTTCAGGTCATTGTTTGGATAAGCTTCAGTCATCTTTAGTAGTTCTGACTCATGCTTCTAGTGGTCACAGTGATTAACCTGTTACCGTGGTTCCCAAACTGAGGCGTTACCTGGCTCTTCCTCCACTTCAAGGACGGTCTCAAAGTCCAGTCTCACAGAGTCCTTGGTAAGTAAAGACTTATGGAGGATCTCATAATAAATGTGTTCCTGGTCCTTGCATTGGTGACTATCTTCTTTACCTCCATGAAAATCTTATCCTATGAAATCTTATACAGGAAAAGACAATTTAAATAGAGTAAGACTTTATACAGCTATCAAAAATACTTATATAAACTTTAGTTGAAGAAATATTAAAGCAGTAATTTTTTGGCTGAATGAAAAAAGTGATCATTACACAAAACCATTCACAATGTTAATAGACCCCTAAAAGTGGCCACAAATCTGAAAACAGAGGAGATACAGTGAGTTGACAAAAGCTCAGAAAGACATGGATCAGAATTCTGGCTCTCAGCTGATCTAGTTCTATGACTTTAACCAAGTCATTAGCCTCTTTATTCCTCAGTTTCCTTTTCTGTGATTTGAGTATAATACTAATTATCTTTCAAGATTAGACTAGTATCTGGCATTTAATAGAACTCAACAAATGGCAGGTGGCAATAGCAGCAATAAATGTTTTTCTAGTTTTGAATTAACAGTATTAATATTGACAGAAACTTTTGAATGTATAGGTAAACAATTCTATGTTTTAGACTATAAGACAATCAGATGTCTAGCTTGGACTTCTTCATTATCCTATCTAATAAAAGAGTAATATGCAAATTGACCATCACTCCAACACAAGATGGCTGCCCCTATGTGGTCAAAGATGGCCACCATGCCCTGACTTGTTTGGCTCAGTGGATAGAGCATTGGCCTGCGGACTGAAGGGTCCCGGGTTTGATTCCGGTCAAGGGTATGTACCTTGGTTGCGGGCACATCCCCAGTGGAATGTGAATTGGTCATAAGGTCAAGCCTAATGTGGAGGTGTGCAGGAGACAGATGATTTGTGTTTCTCTCTCATCGATGTTTCTAACTATCCCTCTCCCCTCCTCTCTGTACAAAATCAATAAAATATATTTTTAAAAAAACAAAGATGGCCACCAAAAGATGGCCAGCAGGGGAGAGCAGTTGGGGGGACCAGGCCAGCAGGGGAGGGCAGTTTGGGGCAACCAGAACAGCAGGGGAGGGGAGTTTGGGGGACCAGGCCAGCAGGGGAGGGCAGTTGGAGGCAACCAGGACAGCAGGGGAGGGGAGTTGGGGGGGACCAAGCCAGCATGGGAGGGCAGTTGGGGGGGACCAGGCCAGTAGGGGAGGTCAGCTGGGGGGACCAGGCCAGCATGGGAGGGCAGTTGGGGGGGACCAGGCCAGTAGGGGAGGTCAGCTGGGGGGACCAGGCCAGCAGGGGAGCAGTTAGGTATCGATCAGGCTGGCAGGGGAGTGGTTAGGGGCTGATCAGGCTGGCAGGCAGAAGTGGTTAGGGGCAATCAGGCAGGCAGGCAGGTGGGCGGTTGGGAGCCAGCAGTCCTGAATTGTGAGAGGGATGTCTGACTTCCCATTTAGGCCAGATCCCATACTTGGCAGTCAGACATCCCTCGAGAGGTCCCAGATTGGAGAGAGTGCAGGCTGGGCTGAGGGTCATACCCTCCCCGCCCCCCTCCCTCCCCCCATGCATGAATTTCATGCACCGGGCCTCTAGTGTCTACATAATAATGAATTATTTAAAAGATGTTTTAAGATTTCCCCCCAAAATTCATAGTACAAAAGAAGTTTTTTGAAGAAATAGCAGCATTATTTATCTCTAGCCAGGTTCATTGGCATTTTGTAATGTTACTAGAGGCCTGCTGCATGAAATTCATGTGCAGGGGAGGGGGAGGTCCTTCAGCCCAGCCTGCACCCTCTCCAATTCAGGACCCCTTGAGGGATGTTTGACTGCCAGGGATTGGGTCTAAACCAGCAGTCGGACATCGCTCTCGCAATCCAGGACCGCTGGCTCCTAACTGCTCACCTGCCTGCTGGCCTGATTGCCCCTAACTGCCCTTCCCTGCTGGCCTGGTTGCCCCTAACTGCTGCTGCCTCAGCCCCTGCCACCGTGGCTTTTTGTGGAAGGACATCTGGATGGATGTCCGAAAGATGCCCAGTCTAATTTGCATATTACCCTTTTATTAGTATAGATTTGTAAAAATAATAAAACAATTGAAGGATTTCAATTCTCAGCTGTACGAACTTGAAAGAATTGTTTCTCTGGCAGCAATGTTAATTTTCTCCACTTCAAGGGCAGTTTAATAATTCTCCTTGGCCAGATGTTTTAAGTATTATATCCTACAAAGATTTCAAGACAGCTGTAAACAAGTTGCAGAAATTAGTTATTTTGATTAGTTAGTGCAGACCAGAAAAAATTTTAAACTTAACTGAGGTTTTCGGTCTCTACTAGATGTTACATCTGCTAAGACATAACTAGGTATTTTAAAATATAAAATTGTACACCTGAAACTAATACAAAATAATGTTGAATATAAACTGTAATTAAAAAATAAAATTAAGATCAACCGAAGGACTTGTATACATGTATATAAGCCAAACCAATGGACACGGACAACAGGGGGATGGGAGCATGAGTGTGCAGGGTGGGGTGGGGGGGGAGGTTGGGGGTTAATGGGGGGGATGAGGACACATTTGTAATACCTTAACTAATAATAAAAAATAAAATAAATAAATAAATTAATTAATTAATAAAAATAGTGGTTTGCAATATAATAATGTTTCTAATGAAGCAAGCCTATTCTCAAAGAGAGTGCGAGAAAAAAATTAAATTCTAAATTGTGAAAGTAAAATTTTTGAAACCCAAGGAAATCTTATCTGTACAGTTGCTGGGGTTCCCAAAGGTGTGGACGGAGTCGGCAAAGAATGATTTACACGGAGACAGCGTTCATAGCTCTCTAGCTCTCTTTAGTCTCGGTGGATCTTCCTGTGCCTGGCTGAGGCCACAGAGAAAGATCCCGAGGCAAACTGAGCCTTTATTTTATAGTCAGAGGTAAGCAAGGTAGTGGTTTCCATAGTTACACTGTTCTTGTGAGTTTCACTTGTTTTTGTTCTTGTTCTTGCTGCACTTCCCTCAGCCCAATAGCTTCCCAGATAAGATCTAGGGAGCGTCATAAGGTCAAGCCTAATTATGCTTAAGAGGACTGTGCCCTGTAAGCTGGGACTTGTTTGTGACTTTGCCAACAGGTCAGTCCGAGGCTTAACCCTATAGCTGCTCCCCACATACAGTCTTTAGAATTCCAATGAAAAAAATAATGTCCTTAAAAAGATAAAAGCAGATGTGGCACTCATAAAACAAGAACAGGATGCTGTTTTAAAAACCTTAGAAAATCAGAAAAGGCACTTGAAAATGAAAAATATAAAAGCCAAAATTTTAAAAGTTCAATAAAGGGTGGTAATACTTTTAAAGCAAAACAGAAGGAAATGACTTTCAGTTTCAGCTTTGACATGCAAAGATCTTGGAAGTTATTATTCTTACTCTTACAAAAAGAGAAGTCTGGATAAACTGAAAATCAACAACATTCATGGATTCATCAGAGAACTGACTGAGGTGACAGGAAAAACCACCTCTCTGAAATCTAGAGAGAAAGGCATATTCAGAAAAACAAAGCTAAGATCTGTTTAACTGAAGCAGAAGCTGCTAGAACCATAAACTGGTATAATGCTTAAGTGGTAATTTTGATGGATTGCTAGGGATTGTGTGGACCAATGAAGTAGTGTGAAAGTGAGAAACTCCTGGGGACTCACCTTTCCCTGGAATATGATTACTAAACCTACCCATCTCTGAAATGGCAATGACTTACTGACCTTTCCCTGGAATGTGATTACTAAACCCACCTGTCCCTGGAATGGTGGTAACTTACTGAAAATGTGATATTGCCCCAACTCAGAAGGAACACCTTGTATGGACATATACATTGACTAACCAACCAGCTCTCACCAAGTAACCCAAGCCCTCGTTCCTTCCTCATTCTCCTTAAAAAAGAGTTCTAACTGCTGCATGGGCAGCTGCTCTCCCTTTGTGAGACGAGCCCTGCAGGTCTTTCCTCTAATAAAGCCTGTGTCACCTGGTTTTTGGCCTCCGACTGATCTTTCATTTTTGGTGCCAAAACCTGGGAGGGGTGCATGGAAGCTCGGACAATCCTCAGACCTTGCCAGGGAAACAGTGGGCAGCGGAAGCTCTTCTGGGTTTACTGTTTGACTGCTTGGTGGTACGGTTCTGAGTTGATTGGCCTGCGCCAGACCCTCTCTTGAATCCTGCCAGACCAGGACCCATGGGGATCTCTTCACCTCCTGCCCTCCAGTAGGCCTTCAGACCCAACTTACCCCCCCCCCCCCCACACACACACCTTTTGTCCTCACTCCCTGTGACCTGGAAGGGCATTAAAGCCTCAGGGTTTCCCGTCTACTCGGTTTCTCATACTTGAAAGCCCAGGCGCCTGGCTGGGAATACTCTTCTATGTGGGGACATTGTTCTAGAGGTGACGAAGTCGTCACCTCTGGAACCTTCCCTCCAGCGCTCTCTCTCTCTCTCTCTCTCTCTCTCTCTCTCTCTCTCTCTCTCTCTGTCTATGCTTTGGGTGAGTGAACAGGAGGATTCTCCTTGTTCCTTCCCCAACCTCCATAGCCCTTCTCTCCATTCATGGGGACCTCTCAATCCAAACCCCCTCTAAACACACCCTTAGAGTATTTCCTCACCAATCTCTCAACCCTTGGTCTTTCTCGCTACATCAAACCAAAGAAGCTCATTTTTTTTTTTCTGTAACACTGCCTGGCCACAATATAAACTCCATAATGGCTCTCAGTGGCCCGAGAATGGCACTTTCAATTGCAACATTCTCAGGAACCTAGATAATTTCTGCCACCGTACAGGGAAGGCCTCAGAGATCCCTTACGTACAGGCTTTCTTTTTCCTCCGCTCCCACCCCATGCTTTGCTCCTCACATTGCACCCTTCAGATCCTCCTCGCAAAGTCCCCATCGCCCCCTCAAACTGGTCCTCAGCCCCTTTCTCTGTCTTCTGACACTTTCGACCCAGTTGATCATTCCTCTCCACCCTCTCAACATCTCCCACAACCTCCACCCGCTT